TTGTATTAATCCATACAGGGATTTCTTTAATTTATACACAAATTTCTCTCCTGTTTATGGTTATTGTTCAAACCCCTCACGCTCTTCCAAGTAAATTTCTTCCTCAATTGGAGCATGTAAATAAGCTGTTTTGACAATCATCTGATGTACTTTAAGGTTTTTCTGAACTGCTATGTGTCATCCGCGCGCCGGACTGGAGTTGTGACAGGCAGCCCAGGCCACAGGCGGCTACGCTCTACCCCTTCTATTCATCCGGGTAGCTAATCTGAATCGTTTAATTGCGTTTTGAGAGCGAGATCATCTGTGGTAGTAGCACTAGACATCTTTCAGGGATGTGAGTAAAACTAGCAGCAGTTCAGCGGACAGGATGAATGAATAGTAGCCGGAACACGCGGATGACGTCATACACACTCCACTTTGTTTAAAAAAAAAATAAATATAAAAAATATAACCAAAAATGTCTGGGGGACAGGGAATCGCCTACATGTCATGAATGCTGGCGTACTATAAAGAATAAATTATGAACAGTTTAGTTTGTGCCTTCATATTGTTTGCCCATAGGAAGACGTTACTTAGATATAACCTAAAGGAATATCTTCAGAACAGTTCCAAATGATACAAACTCATAAGGGTGAGTAGAACATGATGTAATAACGTAAAATCAAGGGCCCAATGTAAAAAAAAACGGCATTTCCCTTTAATGCTCGCACTGATGTCATGTTAGCTGTTGGAGTAAAAGTTTTGTTAAATATAGGCTCTGTGTATGCACCTTGACACACTTTTTTCTGTGGTTCTTTTTCCTGAAAAGAGATCACTCAGGACAAACTCTTTAAATAACACTTCATAACTTATATGTATTAAACAACCAGGAGACATGACAATAAAGTCTGATAGAAATTGTAATCTTAATCAGATCAGAGAAATTGCTTAGAGTTTACAGAAGGCAGCTGCTCACCTCCGGGCTCACTTCTCAGGAAGTAGCCCCTATTAAAAGTTAAAAAGGCATTTTATACATCATCACATTTTATATCATACATGTTAGCAGAGGAGTAGACATCATGGCTCCATCCTTATCAAAATATTACATTTTGTTCTTAGCTGAAGGACACCGCTCTCATTCCATTCTCAAATATTTGCCATGTGCAGAATAAAGATTATAACTGTATATCCAGACTAGAGACTGACACGGGAGTAGATTTTCACTCCTGTCCCGTCCCACTCCCACAGAAAAAAATTGTGTCCTGTCCCGATCCCGGGCCAGAGTAGAAATCTAAATCCTGTCCCGTCCCACTCCTGGTGAAATTACTCCCCCTCCCATCCCGCTCCCATTCAGAATGACTCCCGCTCCTGCACCACTCCCATTCTTGTTGTCTTCAATAAGATTTCACTTTTTTCAAACTTTTCGAAGTCGAGTTCGCCACTAACTGTTGATCCCTTCATTGTTGTTTTTCAGCGCGGGTGAAAAACTCAGCGGAAGCACTGTTGGTTTTTGGGTTGTGTAGTTTGTTTGACTTGCATTATTGTTGGGAGCTGGAGAAGTTCCACCTTCCTCCAGCAGAGTCCGCCGTGGATCCTCCTGAGCTGAGCTGCCTGCACACCTGTGACTGATCATCTCATCAGGAGGACCACAGTACTTAAGCTGTCTTCAGACCTTGCCTCGACGCCGCAGTGTTTAATCAGTTTGGTTAGCACCTAAGCCTAGAACCTCCTGAGAACTTTGCTATCTCTGAGTCCAGTTTGGATTCTAACCCTTTTGTCTCTGCTTCCAGGTTACCTGTTTTTCTCCTGTGAAGCTCTGGAAGAGCTTAACCTGCCGAGCCTGCCCTCTGAGCCAAACCTGAAGACTCTCTTCTGGATTTCCAAGCAGTTCTGGATTTTGAGCTGGGAACTCAAACCAAGGTCAACACCCTCACTAGAAGTAAGACGCTGAAACAGTTATCGGACTCTGCTGAACCAAACCATCTCCGGACCCAACAGTTCCTCTCCCAAAGTCTCTTCTACGCACCTCAAGGTACAAACCTGAATCTCTCAAGATCAATTCCAACCAAACCAACGCTAACTGAACTGTCTCCTTCACAGACTCCAGTGAACCAGTCCCCAGGCCTGAACCAGCAAACTGTACATTTACTACGTGCTTGTGTTACAATAAACTTGTTAACTTTTCCCCTGAGTCCATTGTGTTCTGCATCTTGGGCCTCTCACTAAACCCATCATGACAATTATAGTGTAGGCTTCAAGGAAAAAAACTACAAAATGGTGGCGCCAGTACTGGATTCTTTTTCTTTCTATTTTATTTTATTTTTTGGCATCGATCCTCGTTTTTTTAAGTTACTATTGGTTTGCTCCCGCTCCCGTCTGCTCCCGTAAATGTTTAATCCTGTACCGTCCCAATCACGTGATCGTTACTAATACTGACTCCCATCCCACGGGAATCCCACGAGAATCCCGTGACCCGTGGGATTCCCGAAAAAATGTCAGTCTCTAATCCCGACAGAGGAACCGTCTTAACCAGATAAACTATTGTGGAAAACATCAGTTCTGACACGCAACAGGCAGCCAATACCAAGGTGTAATAAACTCAAACATCTTCAATGATAATTATCCTAACAGTCTCATGGTAGTCTATACCTTCTGTTTGGCTGTAGCCTTTTGCTACTTAACTTTGAAAATCTCTTTTCCTTCATTTTTTTTGAGTGTTTATACCCACTTCCCTCCAACTGTGTTCTTACCCTCTGGTAGAACGCTCAGTTCAAATGTTTCATTTGACAAAAAACAAAGTTAGACTCAGAGAAACAAAGGCTCAGATTAGACTCAGCTAAACTCAGCTTGGCTAGAGTTCCCAAAACTGAAAAACACTCTGGCGTAGAGGTAGTGACAGTCCACAGCTCAAATACTCTTCGGTGATGAACCAACGAGCCACAGGTGTGCAGGAAGGGCAACGAGAACAGGGCACCACCTGGTGGTGGAGGGAGAGAAAAACACACAAACAACCCACACAATCTGGTTTCCTAACACCTGGTCTAATGCACCATCTGATTTGAGAAACCTGTTCAAAGACTTACTTATTATTTAGGTAGCATACACATATCATCCTTATTGTGTTTTACTCTTGCCCTTATCTTATTTTATTCTTATCCTTATTTTATTCATATCCTTATGTTATTTTATTCTTATATGTTATTTGTACTTACAATCTGGTTTTTCCTTCTTCTGTAAATGGTTGCACTGCAAGAAAAACATTTCCTGAAAGGGATTAATAAAGTAATTCTGATTCTGATTAATGAATCCCTTTGGCAGAATACAAATGACCCATTTTAATCTGGATTCATTCCAAGACTACAGTGAGATTAATCTAAATTTTAAAAATGTATCTATGCCCACCTCTAATATATTTATACACATTTGGACGTCAATTTGCAATGATGGGTGTTAAGGGGTTAATATCACCACTTTCACATTTTAATAAAAGAAACAGCCATTACTATTCAAATATGAAATGCAACAAGCACAGGTATAACCGAGACAAAGATTAGTATGAGCGAGAATGCTAAGATCATTGAGGCAAGAAGTCCAGTTAAGAGAACCGCAATCCTCTACCTTATAACCACAGCTCTGAAGCATTTAAACCTTCAGGAGCCGTTCAAATTCAATATGCATCTAATTAACAGATAAAATGGAGCTTAAGCGTGAAAATAAAATACATATCAAACTCACAAGAGGTGCTGATTATTTACAAACAAAATCCTTCTTCCTGTCTTTGTGCAGGAAGTCTTAGTTTCTCCATTAAGGATCAGCCATTGAGGCCAGAAGAACTTTTAACGACATCAAATCTAAAATGCAGATTGTCGTTAGCTTAACTTGGCTGTAAATATTTTGCTCTAACTGACCAATCAGAGGACAGAAAATGCTGACAAATGTGTGGGCCATCTAGCTGCCCCCAAATCTGAAATATGATTGGTTGAAGAAAATGTTTCTCACTAATATGTTAGGTAACATCAGCCAGTACTGCTGATTCTGAAGAACCTGGGCAGATTTGATTGACATAGCAACGCAGTAAGGCTGAAATCTGATTGGACAAAAAATACAGAGACCACATAAATGTAATGAAAGCAGCTCAGTAATCAAGAGAAACGCTACAAAATTAAGAGAATTAATTGTTTCGAATAAATTAATAGAGCTTGAAAGAAGAAAATTAAAGTTTAGGTTGAGAATGTATGTTAGTGTTTCTGATTGATTTTAGGCCAGCAGAGAAGGCTTTGAAGGCCATCACAGCCCACCACTGGTCGTTACTATGCAGTTGTTTATCTCTTCTGTAATGTCAGCGCGCTGTCATGAGGTGGGATATCCAGAATGTATAAGGTGACGTAATGCTATCTATTTTATTTTCTTTTGAATAAATACTGGACTTTTCAGAATGTTTTTAACCCTTGGTTACAGTAAAAAAAAAGAAGCATTTTTTAAAAGTGTAGATCATTGATTTGCAGAAAGACAGATAGCAGGCAAGCAGTCAACTTTACAGCGTTAAAGGTAAGAAAACTCTCTCTTTTGAGGCTGATGCTATAAAGATTTAATTAGGGAACCACAAGGTAATAATTTATTTATTTATTATAAATAGCAACTAACTGTTTGACTGCTTCTTGTGTAGTGGTATCACTGGAAAAACGATCTAGAAATAAGCAAAAATTTCGTAAATTAAGTGTATCTATCCTTAATTTGAGAAGGTAAATGAGATAGTTTGCCAATGTAATGAGTATTTTTACTCTTAAAATAAGATAATTAGATAATATGCACTTGAAATAAGAGAATGCAATAGTGTTTTCTTATTTTAAATGTAAATTGTCTTGTTCCATTGGCAAAATGTATCCTTTACCTCCTCAATCCGAGAATAATTGCACTTATTCTAAGAAAAAATGACTTATCTAGATTTCGATTTTTTACCAGGTACAGTTATAATTTGAAGATAATGTGTTGACTTTATCATGTAAAGGTAATCAATAACTAAACTGTTCTTTTCTAAGCAGGATAGTCAAAAAAGGAAAGAGAAAACACTGACATACACATCCAAGCAATGTCTCAAGCTCCAGTAAGTCATTCTGAGTTGAAGCTTTTCTTATGAAGAACCATAATTTTGGTCCACATTAGGCATCAAAAGGGGTTTACACTATATTCAGTGGTGCCAAATAATTGATGGATTTTTCGTTTTTGTTCTCTTACAGATGGAGATCAGTAATGTGGATGAACAACTTTGTGAAGGTCAGCAGCATGTGGAAAACAGAGACCTGGATCAGCTTAATGTCTCTGAGAAATCACATCGCTGTGACCAGTGTGGAAAGGGTTTTAAGAGCTCTTACGGTCTGAAAATACACCTGCTTATCCACACCGGCGAGAAGCCTTTCCTCTGCTATGAGTGTGGGAAACGATTCAGGCAGAGTGGACATTTGGATACGCATCTGTCCATCCACAGTGGCGAAAAGCCTTTCGTCTGCCATCAGTGTGGGAAGCAATTCCGCCTGAAACGAGATTTGAATCACCATCTGTCCATCCACACCAGCGAAAAGCCTTTCGTCTGCCAAATATGTGAGAAGCAATTCCGCCTGAAACGAGATTTGAATCGTCATCTGTCCATCCACACTGGCGAAAAGCCTTTCATCTGCCATACATGTGGGAAGCAATTCCGCCTGAAAGGAATTTTGAATCAGCATCTGTCAACCCACACCGGCGAAAAGCCTTTCGTCTGCCATCAGTGTGGGAAAAGCTTTCGTTGTAGATCTTCTCTGAAAAGACATCTACATATCCACACCAGAGTCCCTACATGTGCAGGAGGTGTGGAAAAAGCTTCAGACCATTGAAATCTGTGCAATATCATCTGGAAATTCACACAAGAGAAGAAAATCCTACCATAGCAGAGGCTTCACTTTCTATTTAGTTCTCATGCTTTTCCTTATCTGAGACCAAAGTTTAATAAGCTCTTTAATAAAATTCACTTGCATTCAAAGATTTTTATATTTCTTCCCTTTGCAGCTATAGTTCTGATAAAAAACTTTAAAATGAGTACATATTCCTCTATTTTTAGCTTCCTTTTAATGGCTTCCTGTTAAATCCAGAATTACAATGACCAGGTAATGGAAGACCCAGATTCAAACGGAGCAAGAGACGTTTAAACAGTTTATTGGAATGAAACTGGCGCTGGTTGGGAGAGATTCACCACAATCAGCAATTAGAACTCAGAATACAGGTCAGAGATCCAAAAGACACTAAGACAGGTCCGATAGAGGTCAGGCAGGTTTACAGGAATACTCGTAATAATCTGACACTAGTCACTGGTCTGACAGCTGGTTATACAGTTAGGTAAGAGGGGAAATCTGATGGAGGCTAAGTGGAAACTACAGAGCTGACAGGTGTGTTGAATCCTGAATCAAACCAGCACTCATGCCAGGAATCATGACAAGAATAGAATTCAAAATCAAACAAGCTCCATCTAATATTAGAGATCTGATTGTTTCTGGTGTTCCAAACACTCACTTCTCTCTCAATCTGCAGTGGTTCCTAGAATTTCTAAATGTAGAATTGGAGGCAGATCTTTTATTTATCAGGCTCCTCTCCTGTGGAACCAACTAGCAGTTTTAGTCTGAGAGACAGACATCCTGTCTACTTTTAAGACTAGGCTCAATACATTCCTTATTATAAAGCTAATAGAGTGGCTCAGGTTATCCTGAGCTGTCTCCATGGTTATTTTGCAACAGGCTTGGGCTGCTGGAGGACATATGCTGTGTTCAAATTCGGTGGCTGTCCACAGAATGGCAGTTTCCTGAGACAGCAGCTCTAAATACACATGTAATACATTATTAAAAAGTTATTTACACATATAGTAAAAAAAACCGACTAAAATCCTTAGAGTAGACTTAAAATGTAACACAAGGACAGATATTCATGGACTATAGTATGCAGTGTTGTGCCTGAACGCGTTCATTGAACGAAAGTTCATGAACTCGTTCATATTTTGGGCGAACGTGAACTGAACGTACTGCATTACTGCCTGATGAACGTTATTGTGAACTTGTTCATTCTGGTGTCTGTGAACGGCACGCTCTCTCAGTTCAGCTCCATTCAATAGGTTGCCAGATTTCTATAGAGCCCTCCAGGCGAAACCCCGGCTAAATCACACTGTAAACAGGCCTTAATATGTAGCGGGAAAAACACCCAATCTGGCAACACCAGCTACCAGCGTCGTAGCCTACAGTCGCGTGCGTCATCAAAACAAAATGCAGCGTGGAAGCCACAGCAGCATGGAGGCGACCGTTGAGGCGACAAAGCAGCAGTATGATCACCTATAACAGTTTTATGACCAGGTGGTCGGTGAGGATGATGGCAACAATCTTACATTTCTCTGCAAACTTTGCCCGCCGGCTTTCAGTAAAAAAATCCGCACTTCAGTAACCTTAAATTCCTACCTCAGCCTGGTCCCTCAGTTTGTGTTAGTAAAATGTTCTTGAGGGATTTACTATTCATGTAACTTGTTTGTTAAACCTGCCTGGTATAATTTTCCAGTATTCCTTTTTAGTATGTACTGAAATGGAATTTCAAATTGAAAAAAATATTACAATTAAAACAACATTTGCACCTTAAAGACTACTTTCCTGTTTTTCTTTTAATAATTCCTCATAAAAAAGACCATTCAAGCAGCACATTTTTCCTGATGTTTTTGAGAATATACTGTAGGGGTGAAAGCTGCAGCTGCTACTAGTGTGAAGTGAATGGACAGCAACAAAGCGTTAAAGTAACAATGGGGAAATGCTGTCCCCTCAATGCTAATGTAAACCCTGGTTGGATAAGGATTCAAAACTGGATATGAAGATGAAATCTGACGCACAGTTTCAGAGTTACAACTGATAAAATAATTGCTGTCTGTGGTTCTACAGTAGGCTATGGAGTAATTGAGCAATATATGAAAAAAAAAAAAAAAGAACTATGAACTAGTTCATTTTTTGGAACTGTGAACTTAGTTCAACATTTTTAATTATGAACTATGAACTGAACTAGTTCATTTTAAAATAATTGAGCTGAACTTTGAACTAGTTCACGTAGAAAGAGAACTTTCCCAACACTGATAGTATGTAGTATTTAAACAAAGTGCAGCTTGTGCTGAAATGGTCTGGAAGTGTAGTGGATTTTTAGGAAGGATGTTTAGCTACTGCCAGCAGAGAGATGATCGGCTTTGCAGCTCTGGGAAGGAATCTTTTCTTAAGTCTATTTGTTTCTGATCAGAGGTGGGTAGAGTTGCACTTAAGTAAGAGTAGCACTACTTCATCATATTTTTACTCAAGTAACAGTGAAAAGTCGTTTTTAAAGAAAATACTCAAGTAACAGTGAAAGTAGTTGTTAAAAAGGCTACTCAAGTACTGAGCAACTGATCTATAGGATTATTTTTATTGATGATATATGAGTCTGTTAAACCCTAATAATACCTGCCTGTTATGTGTCGAAACAAATGTTTTCCCAGGCAGTTTATTGAATTAGGATAGTTATTCTGTCAGGATATAGAGTTATCACGTTAATATTGTACATAACAGAGATTTGGGAATGAAATAGGGGCACAAAGAGAGTGGATCATAAGTGACAGCTTGTTCAGGAAGTGGAGCGATACTGGCTAAAAATTGTTTTGCTCACTGCCATGCATAGTCTGGTCTCTGGAGGGCAGCTTCTTCAGAGTTCCTTATTATAGTTCATTGTGTTTCATTACTGGACTTCTGTGCAGGTTATAGATTGCACTTGGCACCAGGACATCCCACACTATTGGTCAACGATTTACTTTGTACCCAAATCTTCCAGCTGTTGCCTGTGCATCTTAGACACTAGAGTGAAGAGAGGGATAGAGCTGTGCACCAATCACCACCAGACTAGAATAGGAGGAAGTTGTGGTATTCACCAATGAAATCAACTCAGTGGAAAAGAAATCAAGTTTAACTAGGACGATGCGAGAATAATGTGAAAAACGCAGTTCTGAGGCTTCACATAGAGGACAAGTATTACACTGCAAACAATTAAATCTAAATAAGTCATTTTTACTTAAAATAAGTGCATTTTTTCTTGAATTACTAATGTGTGCGACACTTTGCCAATAGTACAAGACAATTTACATTTAAAATAAGAAAAAACAATTGCATTGTCTTATATCAAGTGCATAATATCTAATTACCTTATTTTAAGAATAAAAATACTCCATTGGCAAATCATCTTATTTATCTGCTCAAATTAAGTGTTAATACACTTAATTTAAGACATTTTTACACATTTTTAGATAGTTTTTTTCAGTGTAATACTGATGTTTACCAGAGACAAACACATACAGACCAATATTTACATTATCTTACATCTGGAATACAAACTTTCTATCATTAGGACTCTAGGTGTGAGGTCTGTCAATGTTTCCCCAGTTGCAGAGGAAACATCCTAAGAGCTCAAACCTTTCAGAAAATGCCTCCAATTATATGGTTATCCTACAGTTAAGTAAGTATCTATTAAGTAAACCAAAGAAATTATCAGGAAGAACAATGCTGCATCTACCGCAGAGGAGAAAAGAGAGAGACAAACAAAATTTATTGTAATTTCAATTGTATTTGGAATTTCTGAGAAACTCAGCAGGATATTCTCTGCACATAACATGCCGGTGAATTTACTACCAAACAAAACTCTTGATGGGGTGAAGTAGAGCAAGGACAAATGGAAACCGCTGGAAAAGGGGCATAACAAGAAAAAAAAAAACACCTAATTAATGTTTTTTGATTCTTTTTTTAACCAATTTACAACACGTCCTCTCATAGACAAATAATGAGATCATCCAGTCAGGTAAAAGTTTTCTATCCAAGGAAAGCCAGCTGATTGCATCCAGTTACTGACTGGATGATTATCTGGCAAAAGTAGACATTTACTTTCTTTGTGTCATTGACTCTACAGCAATCACTCACACCAAGCATGTTCGCAATATAACAAGCATTATCAGCATTTATGTATTAATCAGTTACAGTTAATCATTATGTTAAATAAATCTTTTTTTAAGGGTTCAGTTTCAGGAGGAAACTGAAGAAGAAAGGTAATAACTTGTTGAATGAAGTATGATGGTTGTATTAAGATGTTGGATTTCCAGGAAGAGGGGAGTGTATATATAGAGGCTGAGAAGGCAGCTGGTGGGGATTGATGCAGGTGAATAATGATGGATGGGGCAACGATGGTTACGGATGTAGAAGAGTCCAGACAGTGGAAGTCTGGGGAGTCGCCATCAGAGGAGGGACAGGACTCAGAGACGGAAAAAAGCGTCACTACAGTGAAAAATGAAAATGAACTTCTGCTTTCTGTTTAGATTTCAGCCTTAAGATCAGAGCGACTGACATGAGGAAGGCAGTAAGAAGAAGAAGATACAGGTACGTCTATTCAAATCCAAAACTGCTTTTATTTTTAATGAATTTATAATATTTAATAAGCAAACTGATCAGTAAGAAAAACAAATATCTTATGTAAGAGAATTTCTCAGTTTGGAAAATTAAAATAATCACATATTTCAATCCATTTGTAAAACATTTTTATCAAATATTTTGTAACTGAAGCTAATTGAATTTAGGACTGTCTGTCTGTTATATAGTAAGACATCTTTTTTTATAAACATGATTGTTATCAGTTTGGTCTATGGAAATTTCTTATGGTTCATTGCTATATTTTTTCAGATGGGAAAACAAAATTGCTTTTATGTCTAATTATCATACCAAGCGTAATTACATTTTTACACGTTACCAAGAGAAGCTTTTCTTAGCTTTGTTTTAAGGGACTTTGCTCTTTGCTTTAAGCTCAGGGGTCTAAATCACTTCGAAGCATGAAGAAGTTTTTCTTTCTGTTTGTCTGAGCTCCCAGTTGGCTGCTTCTGCTTTCTAGTTCTTCCAAGATATGTATTTTTCCATAGATAATGCAAATATCCATTGGTCTATAAGGAGA